CCCCCCGTCCGGGGCATCAGGGGGGGGGGCGGGCGGGCCGAGGCGGCGGAGCTGAGCCTCCGGCTGAGCGCCGCCGAGGGCCGCACCCACGGCCTGGAGGCCGAGCTGGCGCGCGTCGAGGGCTTGAAGCGGGACGTGGAGTTCAAGCTGGGGAGCCTGCATTCCGCCCTGAGGCGCACCATGGGCATCAGCCGGGGGGGCCGGGCCCCCAGCCCCGCCATCAGGGGCCGGAGCAGCTCCCCCAAGAGATTCTTCTCCCCTCCCAAAGGTAAGGGGCCAGGAGAGCCCTGGGGCAGCCCTGAGGAGGGCCCTTTCTCTCCTCCCACACCTCGAGGGCTTCGTTTTCGTCCTTGCCACGCCGGGTGGGAGGGGCATCTGGGCACTGGGTCAGCCGGGGGGGCCGGGCCCCCAGCCCCGCCATCAGGGGCCGGAGCAGCTCCCCCAAGAGATTCTTCTCCCCTCCCAAAGGTAAGGGGCCAGGAGAGCCCTGGGGCAGCCCTGAGGAGGGCCCTTTCTCTCCTCCCACACCTCGAGGGCTTCGTTTTCGTCCTTGCCACGCCGGGTGGGAGGGGCATCTGGGCACTGGGGGCAGGAATCCTATTTCTGGCTGTGCCACTGCCCTGCCACGGGACCTTGGTCATGTCACTTCCCTTGGCAGTTTTCTCATCTTTGCAATGGGGATGGGAGGCCCCTGCCTCCCAAGGGCAGCTGGGAGCATGTCACTGATGTTTGCACAGTGGTGCCCAGGTGGCAGGGTCTGTCTGCAGGTGGGTAGAACTGCACGGACTTGAATGCTTGGCTGGGACTAGACTTGCCAGGTGTCTGGTTTCCTCCTGGACAGTTTGGTATTTTGGCCTTTCATCCAGTAAAACCCCAGAGAATACTGGACATGTAAAATGGGTGGTATTTTCTGTTTTCCTTGGACGGATGGCGAGGGCGGGGGGAGCGAGAAGTGCGGTAATTTAAAGGCACAGTGGCCTTTTTTTTTCTCAAAAACATGTCTGGTGGGGTCTGCCAGGGTGGGGGGTGCAAGGAGCAAGGCAATTTAAAGGCACAGCGACCTCTTTTTTTTTTTTTTTTGCATCCCAAGTTTGGTCTCCAATTTTTCCCTGCCTGTTCAGGGTGGGGCGAGGGGCCCTTTGTGAGCTACTGTCCCGGAAAGGGCCTGTTCTGGCCAGGCTACAGCTCTGCTCCCTGCCAGCAGGTGTCGCTCTTCTCTTGGGATAAGCACGGGACTGGCAAAGCCGGACCGGTTTAGAATTGGATTCCCAGGTGTTCCCTGCCTGATGACTTGCCCTCGGTCCAGTCGGCTCCCCTCGGGAGAACCCCTGCTTTGCCGAGGCCCCACTGTCTCTCCTCTCTGCCCATTTCCCCCCAGGTGACAACACGCACAGCGCCCCAGAGGGGCACGGCAGCCCCACCCCGCAGGTGCGCAGCCCTGAGCGCAGCCCCAGCTCACGCCCTCTGTCCCCAGAGCTGGTGGCGGATATCGACCCGGACGTGGTGCGGACGGCGCTCCGGGACTTCCTGCAGGAGCTGCGGGAGACGCAGCGAGAGCGGGTACCATCGGCGTGGGGAGGAAGGGGTTGGCTTCTGCCCACGTGGCTCTGCCCCTGGGGTGGGCAGCCGGGTGGATCTCCCGACAGCTGATCACTCCCTCTTGTCTCCTCCTCCCTTCCGAACCCAGGGCGACCTGCGGGCCCAGCTGGGCAGCCTGACCCGCCAGCTGGCCGAGCTGGAGGCGGAGCGGGACAGTGCCAGCACCCGAGTGCAGCAGCTGCAGAAGCTGGTGGCTGAAAGCGAGGAAGGTGAGGCAGGGAGGGGCTCTGGGCATGGTGGCATCTGGGGGACTCTCCGAGCAAAGCTTGACCCATGCCGAGGGCCTTTTCAAAGTCCTCAGAGAACAGTTTCAGTTTGCCTCCCGACCTCGTACCCTAGGTTAGCCTTAATTGCCCCATGTTCAAGAGGGGGAAACTGAGGCACGCAGCAGGGAAATGGCCCCAGGCCAGTGGCAGAGTGAGGGTTCCCACTTTTCTAAGTCCCAAGCCGGGACTGGAGCAGACCCTATTTCCACTGCCTCAATGTAGTAATTTGCATACCATGCCTCATAGTTTTGCTTGTAAACTCGGAGCTTTAATGCTCTGATCCCAGCAGGCTAGGCTGCGATGCGGGGGTTCTACGCAGCTGGTAGGCCCAAGCCTGGGTCTGGTGCAGCACGCAGTGTCTGCACTAAGGATGTTAAATATCGTGTAATTGACTAATCGAATAGTTGATGCATTTTTGCATCGACTATTCGATTAGTCAGTAGGGCGGCACTTCCCCTTTGAAACGCCGCTGCAGCATTTCAAAGGGGCTGCACCGCATGGAGCCCGGGACCAGTGTCAAAGGCCGGATTAGAACCCAGGTGCCCTGACTCACATGCCCCCTGCGCTAACCAGCAAACGGCCCTGCCCCATGGTCACCGGGTTTTGGGTTCCTCCGAGGCCTTACCGGGGCTGGCTTCTGGTGCCGAGTGCCCCGGGCCCCTCACTCGCTTGGCGCCCGCGTTCTCTGCCCAGGGAGGCGCAGTGCCGACGGGAAGCTGAGCAGTGCCCAGACCGCCCTCCTGCTGCAGGAGGAGGCCCTTCGGCGCAGCGAGCGGGAGCGCAAGGCCCTGATGGACAAGGTCGCGGGGCTGGAGCGGAGCCTCCAGTCGGCCGACGGCGACCGGCGGGTCACCCAGGTACCAGGGCCAGAGGCAGGGCCTGGCGCGGGGGGGGGAGGGGGGAGTTTCTGACGGATCCGGGGTTGGTGCGGAACCTGAAGGCAAATATGTAAAGAGCTGGCAAGTGAGGTTATGGGGGAACAAGGCATTTTGCACTGGGCTGGGAGACAGGTTGGCATGATCCCTGGGTGCTCTCACTGGTGGGGGAGGGGGCATTCTGGGGGTTACAGTGAGAGGTAGGGGTAGGATCTCCCTTTGGTACAGGCCGCTCTGGTTTCTCCCCTCAGGAAGCCACAGGCCGGCCCTCTCTTCTAGCTGCAATGGGCACTGAACACAGGCCTGAGCCCTACCCCTGGGGTGGGTGGTCAGAGACCCACCGGCGCTCACCCTGGGCAAGGAGGCTTCTGGCCGGTGGAGAACACCCGGTGTGCAGCCAGGGCTAACCCCGTGCCTGCCGCTCCTGTGTGGGACACCCTCCACGGGATGCCGCTGGGAGCAGCTCTAGGAGACAGACTCTCCACAAGGGGGGCTGGGAGAAAAGGCCCCAAAAGCTGGAGGTGAGGGCCGCTTGTAGCCTTATTGAAATTCCTAGTTTCACAAGGCAAACCTGCGCCGTCGACAAAGGCTTCCTTGTCGACCGCGGCGCGTCCAGACTGCCCCGATCTGCCGACAAACAGCTGAGCCATTTACATTTAAATGAAGCCGCGATTATTAAAATCGCGGCTTCATTTCCCTCTGCCGATCAGCCTCATCTACATGGCTCCATCGACGGAGACGTGTAGTTTAGACACCCCCTTGGATGCCAACTAAGGTGCATAATGAGTCCCCCTTCTCGGTCAGCCTGGGTTTGCTTTTCCCTGGTCTTGCCGAAGTCAGACTCTCCAGTCTCTTCTAGCCAACCCCACAAGCCAGGCCACGCTGCACCGCAGGTACAGACACTGAGAACAGCTCTGGGAGGACGTAGCCCAGATAGTCACGCCCTCCATGGGGTACAATCCCAAAGTTACCTGAGGTTTGCCTCCTTCCTCTCTGGTGCCGGAAGGTCCACACAGCCTCTCAGCCCCCCGGTAGAAATGACAGAAGTCGGGTAATGTTATAAACCAGAAATAATTCTCTTCACTAAGAAAAGGTGGCCGCAGATTCAAAGCAGGTTACTAAGAAAATAAGACACAGCACCAAGCCGGAGTCACTACACATCAGGTTACAAATAATAAGTTCTCACCCTAGACTTTATTTCAGGTAAAGTCCTTCACAGGCCAGGGGTGTCTTTTCTGACTGGGGTCCAGCAATTCACCCCCCCACCCCACCCCAGTGCACACACTCTGGGTGCGTCTACACTGCACGGTTATTTTGAGATAACTAGCGTTACTTCGAAATAACAATGCGAGCGTCTACACAGCCATTCCATTATTTCAAAATAATTTCAAAATAACAGGCGGCGTATTCCAAAATCCGTAAACCTCATTCTACGAGGAAGAAGGCCTCTTCCGAAATAGCTATTTCCAGTGCTTTTTTTGTAAGAAAAAAGGTGCCGATACTCTGGGGCAAACTTGTTGAGCAAAAAGGAAAACTTGTTGAGCAAAAAAAGAAAAAAAAACCGCACTGGGGGCCGTACTCTGGGGCAAACTTGTTGAGCAAAAAAAAAAAAAACTGTGATGGGAGCCGGAAAAAATAAACACCGCATGTCCCGAGCAGGCTTCCATCAGGAGCTGAGCCGCCCCAGGAAAACAGGTGCCGGTACGTGCGGGGAAAATCCCATTCCTTTTCCGTGGGCTGGAAAACACCCTTCTGGGCAGTACCATCACAACAAAAAGCACTGGCTATTTCAACACAAGGCGTGTGTAGATGCTCCACTGCTGCTATTTCGAAATAGCCCCTCCCCAGGAGCATTCTAAATTATTCCTCCCCATTGCCTCCTGGGGCTCTACATCGCGATAGCACGTCTACATTAGGGGAGCCTGCCTCGGACTCATTTTGAGGCTTCCCTGCCATGTAGACGGGCTATTTTGAAATAAGCTATTTTGGAATAACTGTTCCGGACTAGCTTATTTCGAAATAGCGGTGCCGTGTAGACGTACCCTTAGCTACAGTCCCCTGGTTTGCAAGTGTTACCAAGTATCTCTTTGGGGTGCAGAGACCATGGTAAAACCAGCTATAGACAATTATTGTTCCCTCCCCCGGCCTTCTGTAGAGTTTCCATAAGGCAGAAAACCTTTGTTTGATTCCCACCACTCTCTTGTGGGAAAGTAGAGTTAAGACGCGTGACGGGGCATCGCCATGTTAGTCGGCATCTGCAGAACCGAGGAGTCCAACCGTTTATGCCCAAATAAATCTGGTAGAATTCAAGATGGGTTCCAGATCACCTGACTGCAGCCCCCCTGCCTCCATGAGTCAGTAGCCGTACGGCATGTCTGCAGGACAGCCCCGTCTGTTTGCTTTGCCATTGCGGGCCTTGAAGAGTCAGCGCCAGGTGTGTGATGCAGAGTAGCACATAGGGAATCACAGATCTCCAAGTCACTCCCTAAATAAGTTCCTAAAAAGGACGCAGGCAGGCAAACGGGCTGAAGAGAGTCAGTCCCAGTGGTCGGTGACAGGCGCTGCCTCGCACAAAGCCTCTCTCGCGTCAGTCAGAGCACACGTGTGTTTTCCGAAAGCCGGCGCAATATGACGTCCCAGGTCTCTCCGGATCATTGTAAGGCCAGCCAGCCCCTTACCTCCGGCTGCTGCTCTCCGCGCCGCGGACCAGTGCAGCGAGGACATTGGGCCCTGCACTCATCTGGGGGCTGGGCGACGTAGGGCACCTTGCGCGGCGGTCTTAAGACAGCCTACGCCATTCCTGGGACGGCTGATGGCTGCCCTCCTCCCCTTGGGTCTGTGGTGTGCCTCCTCCCCAGGAGCACGTCTCCCGGGTGAAGTGGGGCTGTGCAGGGAGCCCACGCAGCCCCCCGCCAGGAACCCAGCTGCCCCTGGGTCGTCTCAGCAGCTGGGAGTGGATGGAAGCCGCCCGGGC